CGAAGTAATCTCCGGTTGGTCAAAGGCCAGTAATAGCTGCTACGTCGAAGAGTGTGGGGGTTAACATCCCACATGGAAGGTGAAAAGTGAAGTGAGAGTAATCCCAGAACAACAGCGAAGCTATAAGCATCTCTGGGGAGTAGTTTAAGCCTGTCTTCGACAGCATCACTAGGTCGAAGATTCCCATTTCCTTCCAGACTGGAGTTTGATGTTTCTCCAACTTTGTTAGCCAAGCAACATAGTCGGAGGTCAGATTAGGGCAAGACCTGAAGACCCTAACACTTCTGTTGAAGAAGCGGAGGTCGATTTTTTCGCGTGTAGGGTCTTCGTTGTCTTCTGCGTCCTTCTTGGCGCATGCTACTGGCTTGAGTTTCTCGACGATGGGGAAATAGCTCTTGATCTTCAGAGCTTCAGAGATGCTTGGGTTCATGGGGCCAGACATTGCGAAGATTTGGTTGGAGTATCCAACCGGGATCATCAAGTGACGCGAGTAAGCATCGCGAACGGAGATGTCAGAAGGTTCAGGAACCCTTCGTTTCCCTGTAGAGTTCACTACCGGAGCAGTAACAAAGACCTTGGGTTTAACATGTTGTTCAGTTGGTGAGTTAGCCTTGGGAGCAGTAGATGCAGAGGCCATTGTTGAGGATGAAGATGAAGTAAAAAAGGAAGAGTTTTTTCTGCAAAGAGAGCAAGCTTGTACGAAAGCAAGGAAGTTTGAAGGCTAGTTTGCGTAAAAAGTCCCACAAGGGGATATTCACTACTATTTATAGTAGTGGGAGAAATCCCCAATAACGAGGACATTAAATGTCATTTAATGCTGCAGGAATTAGTGGGACGCGTGGCAGCATCCTGTTGTTTTGGCCGTTTCTGCAGAAACAGAGAGACGCAGCGTGCGTCCTCGTTTTTGGGATTTGTCATAATGACAAATTCTGAAGTGACGTTTGGTACTGCACGCCGTACTGAAAGTGACGTCCTAGGATCAAATCAATGATGGTTTCTTGGGATTGCCAATAGTTGGTAAAAAGCAACAAAAGTGCACAAGTTAACTTGTGACTAAGCGTGGAAAGACAAGTGTCGAATGGCGTTTTCAAAGAATGCCTTTTTCTTTCAGAGTCGAAATAAGGCATTCTTGGGGGGCAATTTGTTGGCTCCTAAATTCGACACCTTTGTTTTGATTGGTGTCAGCCATTAAAAGCTGAAAGATGCTTTCGACTGGCTAAGCCTGTCGAAGTGCCCGTCGAAAGATGGAAAATACTTAGAAGATTTCTTCCAAGGAAGAAGGCTGGTTGCCTTCGACGTCGAAGGAGTTTTCGTCGAAGACGTCTCTTGATGAAGGTGTTCGATGGTCCAGAGTGGAGCAGTTTGAAATTCAAAGCTTTGGAGGGAAAACGGTTTCCAGCAGTTACTACGTGCAAACGTGCAAGGATCTGGAGCGTCGAGCATGGAGAACGTGCCAAGTGGCTTGATCTCGAAGCAGTGTAACTGCCCGACGGTTACTTGGAATGTTTTAGTATAAATAGGAGTAGACATGTAGTTTCTCGCGTGTGTTCACAATTATATACATAGTCACTCATTTAGATTCAAGTACCCAGTGTGAGCGAAAGAATTGTTGAGAAATGTATGTGTGAAACACCCATTTTATCAATTAAAGTCATTTACTTTTCCAGCATTTTACTTGCTTTTCTCCTTTAAATTCCTGTCGAACCTTTACTTTAAAGCCTTATTTATTTTACCAAGCCTTTCCTTTATGCAATTTACTTGAAACCTTTTATTTAAAGCCTTATCCACCTTAATCAAACTTCAAAATCAACCTATGTCCATAGGATCAATCTGATCGATCCTGCGAGTAACCAAATAAGTAACCATTTGGAGGATCAGCGGTTGTTTACCAAAACCCAAGGTAAACACAACCCAAACACCATTTTTTTTGATTGAGCATGCATAAACTCTTGAAGTTTAGATGTCCATACTTGTGATGCCATAGCCAGTTCTTGTCTTCTTCTGTAGTTGAAGCAAGACATTTATGATCTGATGTGTTGAGTTCAACTTTGAATGTTTTGTTCTCCACCAATGATGCTTTCATTATTAGCCTCCCATCAGCTCTATATACCTTCATCTGATTTTTCTCCAGCTTCATATTGAAGCCTTTTGCAAGTAATTAACCTACACTTATCAAGTTACTTGTCATAGAAGGTACATATAGTACTTCAGTGATAGTAACTTTTCGACCATCCTTCCTGATAACCAAAATATCTCCTTTACCATCTGATTTGATGTTCCTTCCATCTAAAAACTTTATCACCTTTTCGAATGACTCATCTAACTTGGTAAACCAATTTTTCTTGCCAGTCATGTGGTTGTTGCATCCTAAATCTAGATACGACATGTTTTTTTTCTCAGTGTTCGACTGAGTGTTCACCATCAACAACACATCATCTGAATCACTATCTCCAGCTCGTCCATATTGAGCTTCATCACTATCTTTCGCCCTTGCAGCTTTCTTTCTTCAACAGTCTCTAGCATAGTGACCAAAACCTTGACAATTGTAACATTTCACTTTCGTGTCAACTTTCTTCCCAAAATACTTGTTGCTCACACCTTTATTGATCGAATCAGTAATCTTGCTTGACTTCTCACCACTAGCAAGATTCTTTCGCTGCTTCGACTTCTCTTTTCCAGCTTTCTTGCTGAATCTTGATTGTAATGCTTGTTCAGCCACCTTCTCTCTTTCTGAGTTTCTTTGCTTCAACCTCATTTCATGAGCCTCCAATGAAGCTTGAAGTTCTTCCAACTTCATCTCAGATAGATTCTTGGCCTCTTCAATTATCACAACAATGTAGTCGAAATATGCAATTAAAGATCTCAACACCTTTTCTATCTTTTGCAGATTCGTAATCGATTCACCACATTTCTTCATATGGTTTGTTAGCATCACAACTCTTGAGAAATATGTAGATATTAATTCATCTTCTTTCATCTGAAGCATCTCGTATTGCTTCCTTAGTGTCTTCAACTTCACCTTCTTCAATTTCTCATCTCCACCATACAAGGTTTTCAGCATTTCCCAAGCTTCTTTTATTGTTTCTTCTTCAATTATTTTTCTCAAATACATCAAAATCCACACACTGGTGAATCAAGAATAATGCTTTATCATCTTTCTTCCTCTGATCTTTGTGTGCAGTTTTCTGGGCTTCCGTCGCATCTACTTCCAGTTCTGATACTCCATCATTCAAGATTTCAACAACATCTTGAAATTTGAAAATAATCTTCATATACACAACCCGCTGCTGATAGTTTTCACCATTGAAAACCGGTAGATTCGTTGGAAACTATGTTGATGTTGTTGTTCTGTTTGCCATTAAATTCTCTCTTAATCGCAACCGAGCTCTGTTATATCAATTTGTTGGAACAAAGGATTTTCAAGAAAAATGATTTATGAAAGAGAAGAAGAAGAAGAAGAAGAAGAGAGATAATTGAGTGTTTGTTATGTGACTTATTTCACACTATGTTATTTACAAACTCAACATCCCTTTATATAGGCAAACAATGCCCAAGCCCAATTAAACAAAATGCTAAAGTCTAAAACGTGATTTCGACAAACTTTAATATCTATTGTATTCGACTTTGTCGAATACAACTTACAACCTATACAAAATCTATTCGACATACACTACACAAGTATTTCAATATAACAAGAATTATGCATCTAACAGTTTTGTTTTAGATTTGATTGTTGTTGTCCTCACAGTATGATTCATCAATATTGATAGTGGTTTATTGTCTTTGATCTCTAGTTCTTTCCAGATCTGCTGAGATCTACAACTTTTAAAACCTTTGGATTTTCAACACCGCGCCAGTGATTCCATATTACTTAATACCTTATCGTCGATATGTTTTGTTTCTAAAACTTACTCATTGCAGTCTAGGCTGATTAGGCTCGAAAAAGCTATTAAATTTCTATAATTTTTAATTCATATGGACTATTGATATGTGTATAATCTGTGTTGATCGTCTGTATATTCATCCTTATTTAAAAGACAAGTTTGATTATCCAGAATCATCTCTATTTCATTTAGAATGTTTGTTTCTTTTTACACATAGTATTTTACAATTTAGTTTTAGACTCCACATTAGATTCTCTAAGTTGTGCTTTTTATATATCTATGTACTTAGTGTTGGGCTCTTTACCACCACTTTTGTTTTAATTTATTTTATTATATGTTATATTTATGACTCATATATGGTTGATATTTTTTCTTTTTATAATATTTTCATTAATTAAAAAAATAAGTAAGTATTGTGCATAAAATAATATTCCTGTAGATATAATCCAATAATATTTAGATGAGATGACGGGAGTCTCTTCCCTCTCAATCAAAAGTTTTAGACATGCAAATAATATTAAATCTCTTAAAGAGAAATTGCCGTCTATTATAGTCATGCAAAACCTGAGCCATAGATTGATATTGTGTTGTTTTATAACATCTAATGTAAGGTTTAAATCTACGCAAGAAAATAATTTAAGTAAAGAGTAATTGAAAAAGTATAAATCTTATAAAATAAACTAGATTACACTTGAATGAGATGCTATTGCAACATCTTCTAACAAGTCACTCTCACTTCACACTTTCTTTGTCTCACTCTTTCTCTCTCACACATTTTTTACTCTAGACATTACAGTTAAATTCCCTTTGGCAGATTGTTCCTTATTCTGTCCCTGTCTCTCTCTCTCATGTCCATATCTATTCCACCATTTTGTCACCTGTGTAGTATGTACACCACAACTTCCTTTATTTTGTTCCTTTGTCAATTTTCTTCATTTTACTGTTACCTTGGTCAGAGGAAACAATGCTATCCATCCATAACATTCATTATTCTTTTTTGTTTTGTTCTTCTATGAAGTGACATCTTAGGATTGGACTCTTCCTAGTTTTTCATTTCCTTTATCATTCATTCATTCATTCTACTCTTCAATCATATCAATTCACTCAAGTCCATTAATGGCTCAACAGGTATCATCTTTAATTACATTTCTTTTTCATTTATATAAGGTGTAAGTTCTTTTCTGACGTTATTCTAAAAAAACTTATGAAAACGTTATGTTATAAATTGTTTTTATAAGTTTTTTAAATTCTCAGTGTAATAAACAAGTTTAAATAATTTAAACCAAACAAATCAGTTGTAAGGTATGAAGATAAGATGACCGAAAATCTTGAATAATGTATTAGGCATTGTGGTATTTATAGTTGTGCATTTAAGGTTTTATGAAACAGTTTGCTGTGGTAATTATGGCTGCAATGTTGATGCAGGAAGAAGGATGGCCTTTTGGGCTGAATTTATTGAGTCCAAGAAATGTTTTGGCAAGAAACAATGAATTTTCTGGATCAATCTCCTTCAGCACTTTGTTCACAAGTTCTTCCATCCGTTCAATTGATTCTTTGTCATATTTTGATTCAGAGGTATTCCGCCGTCAACATCTGTGATTACGTTTAATTTATTTACTTTTCAAATTATTATCAATATTGTTGTATTGATGTCTTCAAGGTATTTATACTTCAGAAGTCAGTCCTAAAACTCAATGAGTCATATATGAATTGAACTAAGGTCTTTGTAAAATATGAGCTGAATTATTAATATGTGTTTTTCTGTAAAAAGAAAAGGCAACAAAACATGACCTGTGAGTGATACAACAGAAAAAGAAGAGACAGAAAAAGATCTATCATAAATAAGGGTGCGAATCAAAATTATCTATCCTTATGCTATGATGGTTATTCCTTTTGTATTCTTACAACAATAATTAACATGACAGTATATTTTTTGGTACAACTTACATGCCAGTGTTTTGTTGTTGATTGATATATTATGGTCACAGGAAGAGTTATTGGCCTCAAATATTTCAAATATTTATGAAATGACGCACGGATATTCTAAAATCTATATCCCGATATGTATCAAAAGAGTATTAGAATTTTTTTAATTAAAAAAATAAAAATATAAAATTCCAATACGTCTCTATGGCGGCACAGCTAGTTAATCTCATAGCTATTCATATTTTTAGAACATGAATCAATCTTCCTCGTCCTTAACCTATATTTTCTCAACTTCAATTAGTTCATCACTTTTAATTTTCTATTACAAGAATCAAATTCTTTCTTTAATTATTTTTTCTCAACTTTAACTATCTTTTTTATTTTCATAATTCTTTTATCAATTATTATCAAATTTTGCAAACTCAATTTGTTTATAATAAAAATAAACATTACTCATATCTATGTATAATAAAAATAAAAACAAGAGTGTAGTCCCCATTTTAATTTTGAGATATTTAGCTCTTTCTTTTTTGTTTGAACCATGGACATTGGCTACTTACTTTTTGATCATTTGTCTCATGAAGATGAAGCTTTTTTATCTTCAAAGAAAGGAATCTTCATATAACGAAGATGCTTTTTATCTTCCTGTCACTCTCTTTATGTGGTCCACAGCAAGACTTTGAACACCATGCTTTTACAGAATTTGGCATTTATTTTACTATAGTCTGTCATTGGATTAGAGCTCAATGGAAAAATAATGCTGCAATGGCAATATCAGTCAACATTACGGGTTTTTTCCGCTATAACGGCGTCGCAAAGCGCCGGTATGGCACAGTTTTGGTTATTATGGCCAATGCCATCTTGCTAACTGCTATATACCTTGGTTTAGTCCACAGGATCACGTTTCCATGACAAGAGCATCACACTTGGAAGCCTCTTAGGTGTTTCTAGCTTCCTAGAATTGTCAAGATCAACAAGGGGAAGAGAGATGGAACCATCAAAGGAAGACAGAAGGAATCACAAGCTGAAACCATGGTTGTTCTCACTCTGTACAAAGCTTACTACCGATGCGGTTAGTCCAAACGATGTTCCTTCTCTCGGTCAGTACCTAATAGCAGAGAGAAGAGCTAGACGTAATTGCAGAAGGAATCAATGTGCTTCCGTTGATGGGCATAATGTTTTCTCTCCGGTTCAAGAGTCGAACTCACCAGCTTCATCGAGTGAGGATAGTGGAAGAGAAGCAAATAGAACATTGCGGCAGACCAATAGATATGGAACACCAACAACATCATTCTCTTCATTATGGCGATGAGTAAAAAAGTGACAACCTCATGTCACTCATTTTAGCACTTGTTCAGTTTGTGACGCTCATGTCACAATGTCGATTACACTGCGATTTTACGAAGCTAGAAATTCAAGCTTCAGTATCACCACAGTGCCACTGTGAACTAACACTTTTCTCATTCATAATCTCACTTTTTCTCTTATAATTGGTTATTCATTTTTATGTTTGGATATTCTATTTTACACTGGATCCTATACCAATTTTATTTTTCAAGTTGGCCATGATGAATCAACTGATAAAACAAAAACATAAATCAGAGTATAACCAAAAAGTAGGTATATTACAGGAACCAAAAATATATGCAAACCTATAATTCAAAATATTGAAAGTGAAAATGAAACACAATATATTTTCCAACTAACAGGGATGAATGAATGCCTCAAACAATACATTTGAAGCTTTACAAAATTTACCTATCATTACTCAGCCACAGTTACAATTGACCTGTGCAGAGTACTAAAGCAACAAGATTGAGAGTACAGAGAATGAGAAAACTAACCACTTAAATACAAAATACCAATTCTTCAGTTGAATAATTGACAAGTTCCGGGTTGCATATGAATCCTGGCCCAAAATGTGTGGAATTGAATTGAATAAACTCCAAGCCACGTGTCATCAGATGCTCACACAGCTTGGATGCAGGCGAAAACCGAGTACTACATCCAAGAGAATTGAATGTCTCATGTATAATTACATTTCATAATTGGTAAAATAAAACTGCAACCGTCTGTCAAAAGTTCGATCGATAATCGTATTACAACGACTCAAACAGACCATATAAGAATATAGCTCATCTATTGTCTTGCATGATCTTAGTGATCTTTTAGACAATGTGAAAAAATTGAATTCAAATAACATGCTTACTACAATAGGTAGCTATTCCACCGCAAGTGTAAAATCACCATTCATATGTCAATGGAAACAAAGAATCTGCCGGCAATCATCAAGACTTAAGAAATCCTTCATTGCTTTTCGGTATCAATCTTTCCTGAATTGTGACCAGTGATCCTTCCAAATGAGCTAATGGCTGACAAACTCTTGAAGCTGCTGCTCCCTTCGCTGAAATTTGATTTTCTTGACCTCCTTGGTTTTGTTGGATTTGATTCCACTTCTGTATCACTGCAAGTCTTGATCTTGGCAACGATTAACTGAAGAATGGCACCTCGGCAAAATGGACAGGACGGGCCAGTGGTGCAACCAGTTGCAGGATCGGGCTTCTTGAGACAGCATAGTGCTAGGGTACAATGAGCACACATTTGATGACCACAAGGTTTGACCTCAATTGTGCAGACTTGATCAAAGCATATGCAACATAACTCCATATTGCTTTCCTATGAGGAGAAATAACAAACAAATAAGTAACTCGTAGTTTTGACGAAAACACTCAATCTTCACAAAAGGAAGACTTTGTACCTCAGAGTCTGAGACAATGTCATCGTCTTTGTTATCAGAATGAAGTGGAGATGAAGACATGTCAATCTCCTTTAATATGGTTTTTTCTCTCTCCCTGTTAGCTTCTAGTAAGGCGCTCTCCAATAAGGCTTTGGCTTCCTGGTTGAGCTCACTGATAAACTTTAGCGGAGACGGCCAAACAAGCGGTGCTACTGATGAAGGATCGAGTAGGGCCGCACATGCCCTATGTCTGTGCTTAAGAGCAACCGTGAATGGTATTCTCCTGCAAAGAATCATTTACAAGTTAAATTATGGCCATCTATCTTGAATCTATAATTACAGCTTTAAATTAGTTTCTTGAAGTGATAAGCATACATTTACTTACCCAGAGGAATCTAATTGAAGGCGATCTGCTCCCCAAGCAAGCAACATCCGGACACAGTCTACAGAACCGCCGCGGGCAGCCATATGTAGCGGCGTTCTTCCAGGAAATCTGCAGAATGTACTTTGATCAGTTCTAATAGATAAAACCACGGATTTCCATCTAATAAGACTAACAAAACTTAGAACACAATTATTACCCAGATCCACCGGTTGAAGCGGAAACAAGAGCCCCGTTGTCTAAAAGGGAATGAAGACATTCAAGCCGTCTATGACGAGCAGCAAGGTGCAGTGGCGTAGCACCGTTTCCATCTCTTATGTTCACAAATCTGGCAAATCCCCTGGCAGTACCATTGAACAATTTGGATTTAGATTTTAGTAATAAAATATGAAAGTATTATACTACTACTTTCTACACCAGTCATTCGTATTTGATCATGCTTAGAAGAAAGAGAGTCTAACCAAGAATCTGCAACAGGCGTCGAATGAGCAGCTGAAAGAATAGCCTTTAGGCAATCTACATGGCCGTAATACGCAGCATAGTGCAAGCAAGTTCTTCGACGAATAGAATCAAACATCAATATCTGAAATATTACCAGAACGTGTCATACCAATCCCTTAATTGAGTAAACCAATGATCAACACATTCACCACCAATCAACAGTTTTTTAACATCCGAGTTCCTTTTTACTTTCTTCTCAAACTATAAGTTATTTTTATTACAAAATATAATGTAAAGCCAATTTGTTTTGTTCAAGATATAAGCTCAGAAATGCTTATGCTGGTAGATAAACTCAAATAAGTCAATCCAAACTGGACATTGGTTTTTACCCTTAAAATGAGCATAAAAAGAAAAAGAAGAAGGCATAACATACATTAGCTCCAGCTTGAATAAGCTTTTCCATGCAACCGGTCTTTCCATGCATCACAGCCAACATTAACGGAGTCTAGAGACCCAAAAACAAAAAGAACGCAACAAGAATCAGAATAGGTAGTGTACAGTCGAGTTTGTTAAATACAAGAAAGTGCAGAAATTACAGAGATGTTTGGAAACTCTGACAGATATACGCACCTGTTTATGGCGATTCAAGACATCAACTTTAACATTCTGCTCCAACAACATGGAAAGCACCTAACCGAGAGTTCAAGACAAAAACAAACAACATCAGAGATGCAAGAGGGGGACAAATGATGTTGCATTAATCACTTATTACAAAAAGCTCTAACTTCAACCCACTTAGAGCTACATTGAGTTAACATATGAACAAATAAAAGAAAAGTTGAAATATCAAACAATTACTAGGAATCTTCTGAATAATAAATTCATGAATTAATTTGAATTAATTTACACACCTCGACTCAACTTTTCAGACTCTTCCATTACAAAGATCCTAAAACCAATGGACTACGGATTTTCACGAATATCTATTTTTACTAAACACATGGTTTTTTACTAAAATCTAATCCGGAAGACACAATTCTAATACAGTTTCCAACTGGAAACAAGACACGCACTTGGATCGACGGTGAGTGACAAAATCACGATGGCCCCATAAGTTTGCTGAAATTCTAATGTGTAATTTTTTGTCAAAATCAAAGTGGCATACCGTGATTCGACGAAACTCATTACCAATATAAACATGCCCTTATGGCCTATGAAGCACGGACACCTAAAACACAACACCGACACCGACACATCGACACCGATAATAATTTGGAAAAACGAATAAGTTAAATATAATCACAAGTATTTGTGTCGGTTTTAAACATCGACAACGACCCGTACACATCTTTTTCCATAGGTGACGGTGCTATAGAGCTTATAGCCACTTTGAATAAACTCATGAATCAGTTGTCATAAAAATATCCAACTCTAAACCACTTACAACCACTTGTACAAAAAATTCAACCAACACTTAAATACAAAACTTGAAATCAACCAACAATGACTAAAATCACCTTTAGTCAACTCAATTTCTTCACATACCATCTCCTTTAAGTTCTTCCTAAACTCTTCAAAATTCCATGAACTCATTTTTCCAATCAATATTGAAAAGAAAAAAAAAAACACTCATTTCAACTAAAACATCTCAACAATAATCCAAATCAAATCATAAAAGTCTCAATTAACAAACCAATCACCAGAAAATCACTAACACTAACATGTAAGAAATCTAAAGTGGATAGAAACCTTCCAAAACACGACCCATCATTGACACGACGACACTAGTAATAATTTAAAATTAAATTAGACGTAATCACAAGTATCTATGCAAGTGTCTGACACGCACACAGACACCGTCTCTGAGCTACATAGATAGTAACAAGAACTACCTCGATCCGGCCATTGGCAGCTGCTAAATGAAGAGGAGACAGCCTCGCGCGACCAATAGTTCTATCCAACACATTCACATCTTCATCAACCATAGCCTCAACAACCTCCATCTCACCATTGGCAACAGCAGAAGCAAACAAATCATTCTCTCTCTTCTGCATCCCACATCCAGATTGATTCTGTCCCATTTCTTCTCCTGATGGCCGGAAACTTTCTCACGCGCCGCCTTGCACGGCGGTGTTATGGTGAGCTTGTTGGTTGATTGGTTGGTTGGGTTGATCAAGTAGAGAGAAGCAGTTATGTATTGGATGGATGGATGCGTTGGAGTTTGAACCTGCCCACCGCGAATTCGGGCAGGCTGACCGAAACTGACTGGAAAAGAAACACTTAAACGTCTGCTTGTTCACACTGATTGAGATTTTTCATGTTTTAACTTTTTAAATATCTTGATTTTATAAAATTGTTTAATTAAATAATAATTTATCTTGTACGGAAAAAGTGAGATTTAAGCATGGTGACTACAAATGTCGCCTCATGGTCTCCACTTGATAAGATGGATATTCGAAGTTTGAATTCACTTTTCAATATGTTAGATATTTATATTTTACCATTTCAAATGTATTTAGTTGAATGACCATAGATGTTACTTTGAATAAAAGATAAATTGGAAGTTTGAATTTACTTTTCAATTAAATTTTATTTTAGTATTTTTAATTGTTTTGATAATTTAGTTATTAAGTTTATTTTATTAGAGTTTATGTGGTATTTTTTTTTGTGTATAAATAGATTAGTTGTAAATGTCATAAATACAACAATAACATTTATTTCTCTTGTAACTTTACAGTCGTCATTCTCTTTGTTTTCTTAAATATATTCTTTTGTTCATCATCGATTCTTGTGCACTAACAATTGCTATTTATAGTTTTGGTTCTGATCTACAGGGAAATACAGAGAAATACGAGTGAAACGTGAGGCGTTGTGTGATTAATTTTGGTTCTGGATTCGTGTTGAATCTTTGAACAAAATTGTAACAGAAACACATTTTCTGATTTTGTGGGATTGGGAAATATTGTGCTTGTGAGATCTGAGTGAGTTGTATAAAGTTAAGGATGAACGAAAACGGTAATCTGAGTACGAAACTTCCTATTTTTGATGGCAAGAACTGTAATAGATTGGTGATTCAAATGCGCGTACTATTTGGTGCTTAAGATGCGCTTAAGCTTGTTACCAATGGCTATATTTCGGTTGCAGCAGATGCGACAGAAGAAGAGAGAAATGAACAGAGAAACAAGAGGAAGAAAGATCAAAAGGCGTTGTTATACATCTATCAGTGTGTGGATGTGAATGTATTTGAGAATATTGTTGATTTGACGATGGCGAAGGAGACATGGGACACACTAGTCAGATGTTATGGTGGTGACGCATCAGTGAAGAAGGTAAAGCTCTAGTCCCTGCGAAAGCAATATGAGAATCTCAACATGAAGAACAATGAGAAGGTTTCTGAATACATCTCTAGAGTGATTCTGATCAAAGTAATCATTGAGAAGATATTGAGGTCACTTACTCCTCAATTTAATTACATTGTTGTAGCAATTGAACATTCTAAAGATCTAGAAACCATGAGAATAAAAGAGTTGCAAATGAGTCTAGAGGCGCAAGAGTTGCATCTGACTAAAAGAACTTCTGAGAAAGAAGTTGAGCATGCTTTGAAGGCTTCTTTTGTCAAGAAGGACCAGAAGCATTCTTGGTCAAAAATCAAGAATAGACATGGTGATAGATTCCATAAGTCAGAAACCT